ACGGTCACGCCGCTGGCGTCCGTTGCGCAGTTCCCAACGCTGCTGCTGGAGACCGTCGCGTTGCTCCTACGTGGGCGCGCCGATGGAATCCGTCGCACTGCCAACGGAAAGCAGGCTGGGGCGCGTCGTTGACGCGGCCAGAACGGTCCGGCCACCATCGCTGGAGACATCCTCCGAACTCTCGGTCGTCGCCCATCCTGCGCCAGAGGCCGCCGCCAGGAAGACCGGCGGGGCCGCCGACCGGGCGCCGAAGGCCGCCGCGGCCGACAGCGCGGCCGCAGCAGCCGCCCAGGCCGCCGCGGCGACGGAGGCGGCGGCCGCAGCGGCAGCGGGTGCCGCGGCGCAGCCAGCAACAGCGGCGGAAGCCGCCACGGCGGCCGCGCGGGCCGCGGCGCGGTCGCTGGCGGCGCGAGGCGACGCGGCGCCGGGCGCCGCGGCAAGGGGCGCGCCGGCGGCAAGCGCAGGGGCTGAGAGAGGGATGATCGCACCAGTGAGCCCATCAGCACACGCCCACTCCCTGGGGGGCAGCGCCCGCGCCGCGAGTCGGGGCGCCCCCCCCGAGACGCGCGCGCCGCAAGGGCAGTGCACAGCGGGGCGAGAGGTAGAGCACGCAGGTGTTGCCACCGGCCAGGCCTGCACCATCGCACGCGCACCCCTTGCGACACACGGACACGCGCGGCGAAAGTAAGCAGAAGACGGGAGCTCCACGACAGGCGCCCTGAACAGGGGCGAAAGAAAGAGGCAACATTACGCGCGCAAATAGAGAGAGAGATAGGCGATCGTAGAGAAGCGCCACGATGGACACCTGCGGGAAGAAGGATCGCTCGTGCGCAAATTACGCAAGAGAAGAACAGGACGCGCGCCTGGCGACAACGACCGAGACGGATGGCAAGCCTGTGAGATTGCATGAGAGGAGGAACATGTCAACGTGCACCTGCGGGGAAGCGGACCCCCCCCCTTCGACCCAGGGGGCCGAGCGGGAAACAACGTAAACGCAGCGAGCTCGACAACTGGGGCCCCGCGGGCCCAGCTGCCCTGAGCGGGGGCGGGAACGCCGGAAGCACCGCCACCCCCCGGACGCGAGACGACGCGGAAGGAAAAAAGGAGGCGGGGGAAAAGGAAGGATGAGTAGACCTCGCGATCACAAGGCATACACCCCGAAGGATGCCAGCCATCACGCGGGTCGAACACTGGCAACCTCGAGCGCACCCTACTTGCTCTTGTCAAAGGGTGCCAGTTTCTAAGGCCGCGACCCCCCTGCTAAAGATTTCTGCAAGGCTGCGACCCCCCTGCTAAGGAGGTTCATGCAGGGCTGCGACCCTCCTGCTCCGACAGGGAAAGAAGAAGAAAAAGGAAGGAGGGGGCAGACCCGATTCCAAGGAGACGCGGGGAGAGGGCCACCGCGACCCCGGGAGGCCGCGGGACCGGACGAAGGAGGAAGAAGTCCTACATGCGATTCACAGACAACGATAAGGTTCATCCACCAAACAAACCAAGAGGACGAGGACACAGGTCCGCAGCGAGCACCTATCGAGGCAACTGCTCCACGTCATGGAATTGTCTGCGCGCGCAGAAGTCGGCCCCTGCACGCGGGGCGACTTGCGCCGGGCGTTTCGCGCACGGTCCAAGCGGGCAGGGGGGTCCTCAAACCGCGTCTTTTCATTATCCCTGATCATCGAATCATTTTTCGATCCTGGAAGATGCGACACATACGTCCTGCGTGAGGTCCGCAGCCTGCGAGGGCGACAGCTGGCCAGTTCTGCGCCCGCCCATCATGCAACTCTGCCGGCGCGTTGGAATTCCGCAAGACGATCGCAGAAACTCTCTCCTGCAAGCAATGCCCAGGAGCGTCAGATGCGTGGCGACGTCGAGCGCTGGCCCGTTCGGCACGGCGCAGCATTTCGCACAACACTCCACGATGAATGTAGGCACGGTGGCAACACGCACATACATAAGCGAAGAAGAGAAAAGGCAAGTGATGGATGGACACATGGATGGGGGACAGAAAGACCATGGATGCTTAGAGGAAACCAGAGGACGATGGATGGGTAGAGAACAAATAAATCACCGTGACAATGGAGGGACAATCGAAATATCTCTGCCGCGCAGGAAACGTTCAAAATCGGCGCGTTGGCCTATGTGGGCGTTGCCACCGACACAGATCGGGGAGCTGCCCACGCATGCAACTTCGCCAACCCCACCAACCCTCTGGGCGCAGGTGGTTCCGGGAGTTTCCTCTTCCAACCTCCTTCTTCCCCTTCGGGGAGGGGTTTACCCCTCCCCCTACCCAACTCCCCTGGACCTGGACGGGGGGGTTCGCTGGTAGTTGGGGCGTCCAAAACGGCCTCGGCGAGGAAGCCAAAATCATCGGTTTTACTTGGGTTTGGGCCCCATTTGGGCCTCTTGGGGGGGCAAGGTTAATTAACTCCACCCTCTTCTTTGATCGATCGCTTCCAAGATGGCCCCAAAGGGCGCCCAGGAGGCCCCAAGAGGCTTCCAAGAGGCCTCCAAGAGGCCCCAAAATGCCGCCATGAGGCCCCAAGAAGCCCCCAAGAGGCTCCCAGGATGGTTCCAAGAGGCCTCCAAGAGGCTTCAAGAGGCCGCCATGAAGCTCCAAGAGACCCCCAAGAGGCCCCAAGAGGCCTCCAACAGGCCCCCAAGAGCCCCCCAAGAGGATCCCAAGCGGCCTCAAGAGGCCCCCCCGAAGCACCCAAGGCGCCCAAGAGCCCCCATTGACCGCCAAGAGACCCCCAAGACGCCCGAAGAGGCTTCCAAAAGGCTTCCAAGAGGCATCCGAGCGGCATTCAACCATCCACCCAGCGTCATCATTCTCCTCATCCCTTCTTTGCTCGGTTCCTCGCCACCCCCTCATCTATCCATCTGGCCTCCTCTTCCGCCTCATCCTTTGCACGGATCGGCTGTCATTCTCGTTGCCCCCCCACTTTTCTGATCTCTTGATTTTGTCTGGACATCGTTTCTGGATGGGCTGGTGGGGATACGCGAAGCGTCAAGAATTTCGTTTCCTACCGGCTGTCGATGACGGTCACATGGCCCAGAAGGCAAAGCCAAAACGGCTGATAACCTGTGAGAAGGATGATCGCGGCAGTGAGCCCACCAGCATATGCCCACCCCCTGGGGGACAGCGGCCGCACTATGAGTCGGGATGCCCCACAGAGACGCGCGCGCTCTAAGGGCAGCGCACAGCGAGGTGAGAGGTAGACCTATGCAGGTGTTGCCACCGGCCAGGCCTGCATCATCGTACACAGGGGCAGCGGCAGCAGAACGGGGCGCGCCATCGGCACCAGCGGCGCCCACGGCGCCAGCGAAGCGCACGGCGCCCGCGGCGCCCGCAGCGCCCGCGGCGCCCGCGACACCGGCGGCACCAGCAGCGCCAGCGGCGCCTGCAGCCCCAGCGGCGGAAGGCCCGCCAGCGGCGCCCGCGGCGCCCGCGGCGCCCGCGGCGCTGGCGGCAACCGCTGCGCCCACGACGCCCGCGGCGGGCGCGGCGCCAGCGGCGCCCGCGGCGCCCGCGACGCCCGCGGCGCCAGCGACGCCCGCGGCGCCCGCGGCGGCCCCAGCGGCCCCAGCGGCGCGGGCGGCGGCAGCCCGGCGCTGCCGCCGCCGCCGCGCCGCAGGGGACACCATCGCGAGGACGGCCCAAGCAGGCGCGCACCTGGACGGGGGGCTCGAACAGAGACGTATCGAGCCAAGGCTTGAGCCAGATGGCTACGAAACACACCACACACACACACACACGCGCGCGCGCGCGCACACACACACACACACACACATACACACACACACACACACCATTTTCCTCCGACGCGGCGATGCACTGCAATCACCAGCTGTGAATCACTGGCGGCTGTAGTCCAGGCAAGGATACTGTCATGGCGAAGAATCCACCTTGCGTGGAAACGTGCACAAGGCTGACGACCCCAGGGAAAGCTGGACGTAGCCGACCGCCAAACACCACTGCACAGCCGTTATAGGAAAAGGGGGGCTGACAACAACACGAGAACGCCAAACTGGGGAGGGGGAGGCAGTGGGAAGAGGACCGACGACAAGGAAAAAGGCGCGGGGGGACGACGTCGCAGGCTGGACAGAACAGAGGCAAGGCGCAGAGCGCACGAAGAAGGTCACGCGGCCGAGTCGGCCGCGCCGACGAACACAGGGTGCAATAGGAGAGCAGACGGAAGGAATGAAGAAGAGAAGCGGGAGGAGAGACAGGTGAGCGGAACCCCCAGAGGCACAGGCCACTGATCCTGACTCATCTGCTGGGGATGCTCCGAAGAAACCTGCACGGCAGCGCAGGAGGCTGTGAAAGCGCCCGAGAACTGAAACATGGCCGTGCGCCGTAAGGCCGATCAAACATATACACACGCACACCGGCAGCACACTCTTCTCCGACTTGGCGATGGGTTGCAGCCACCTGGTAAGCATGAAACACACTATGTGTTTGTGTGTTCGATCGGACGGTGTTCGGTCCTTCAGAAAGCATGCTCCCCGCGCGGGCCGCATTTCTGGGTGCGACTGCTTCCTCATCGTTGCCGCCCCCCGCATCTCCCATCCTCCGCATTCCCCTGGTCCTCCTCCTTTCCCTCAATCTCCTACTTCTCCTACTCCTGCTCCCGCTCCTCCTGCTCCTCCTCCTGCTCCTCCTCCTCCTCCTTCCTCGTCGTCCTCCTCTTCCCCTCCTGAAAATTCTCCTGCTCATGCGCAGCCTGCTTTCCCTCTTCCCCCCCTCACATGTACGATTTCCCCCCCCTTCTGCGTGGGCATCACACGAGTGGGTGCTTTGCGGAACCAAGGTCCTCTGGAACACCGCAGTCGGCGGACGCAAACGAATGCAAAGCAGTGAAGCGAGATGGTTGGGACGTCCAGGATGGCGAACATGGCGCGAGCGCGCCTAGCTTGCCACCCCCCTCCCCCACGTCAGATTTGCCCACATCCCCCTTCACCCTTCTCCTCACTCTCGCCCCACCTCCCCCTCCACCCGCCTGTGCTGATCGGGCAGGAACTGGACAGTGATGGTCTGGTTCTCCTGGCCATCGGAACGCCGCCGCCGCATCTGCTGTTTTTGTGCGGGTAGGTCTCATTACCGTAGTGATCGTAAATCTGAACATGCTCATCCAGGGCATACTGGTCCACGCGCCCCTTCTCATCGCATGACTCGTCATTTCATTCCATACAATGACAGATCATGTCGCGTCGTATCATGGCATGCCAAGTCATATGATGCCCAATCGAGACATAGCATGCCATGCTAAACCATCCCCTGGCCATGCCACAACATTTCACAGCATGTCATGCAATGTCATATCATATGGTATGATGTCATGCCAGATCGTAGCATGTCATATCATATCAGAACACATCATATCACATCATACCATACCATCTCCCCCATATCGGTTCACTGCATTCCGTGCCTTGTCACGTCCCTTCAGGTCAGCACAGCTGACGCTCGGCGCGTCGTCTGGTGATGGATTCTCGCCTCGGGTGCTTGCTATCCTCATGGTGGGGCCAGGGCAGCACACAAATCCGCCGACACCCGCTTGCCAGGGGTGACACGGCGCGCGAGATGCTCGACTGCCCCCCTCCCTCTTTCCCCCTCCACGGTAATCCAAAATCCGTTTTGTTGAAGGGGGGCGGGGGGAAGAGCTCCGACAGCGGGTTTGGATGCCCCAATAGGCCCCACGACGGCCCAAACGGGCCCCCAGGCGGTCCCAAAGCGACCCCGTGCAAACCCCAGACACGGCCCAGAGGGCGGCCGCAACGTGGCCCAGAAGGCCCCAAGACGGCCCGAGAAGCCTCTCAAAGACAGACAACTGCCCAGGAGTGGCCGGGTTGCAGCACGGCCCGAGACGAGGAGTACCACACAGCCCAAAATCTTCAAAAAAAATCGTTGGACCAATCCTTATCCCCACTGGCGTGGCCTCGGTCCCAGTGGCCGGTTAACCCCTGGGGATATAGGATGTTCCCCTCGGGATTCCGACAGGCAGATCCCCAACTGGGGTGATGAGATGGTCGTGATCGGTATGGGCATGGGGATGGGGATCAACATCGGGTAGACGATCGGGTAGCCGAACAGCTCCAAGCGACCCGCCCCGGGGTCGCCAGCCACTCCGTACGAGGCACGAAGACAGGGGAGATATGGAGAAAAGCGAGGGAGGGGGAAGGGACGGTGGAGGGAAATGCTGAAGAGAAGGACACAGAGGAGGTGGAGGAGAGAGAGGAAAAGGAAAGAGGGAACAAAGATAACGAGCACGAGGAAGCAAAAAACAAGGAAGAGGTAACTGGCAACGGAAATGTCATGATGAAACGGATGTTTCTGCCAAGCGGAATGCAAACGGAGATGCGCAGGCATGTGCCAAACTGTCACGAAAGGTGGCCACCCGACCGTGCCCTGGAGCCCAAACTAAAGTTGGAAAAGGGAAGCAATTAAGAGCGCAAGGGTGGGCCTGATAAACAATGCTAGCGTTCGGGCCTGGTGCTCGAACGAATATGATGTACCCCGTCGGTCAGCACATGCAAACCATGGGCCAACCAACGAGATAAAAGCGAGCTGGTACTGGAGGACGTTCTACTAACCACGTCCCTAACATAAAGCTCCCACTGCTCGCACACAGTTGACTGGCAGCAGGCTTGTGATGGAGCAACCCCTAACCACGTGCGTGCTCAAATCTCATACAGCCTCCTCCTCCACGAGCAAACTCCGTGGAAAAATCTCACTCATTTGCACGCTTTGCTATGACGCATGCGCAAACATAGTTCGCGAGATGCAAGTTTCTGCATCCATCTGCCGACCTTGAGGCCGGGGGCTGCGATGGCATACACATGCAAGCCCAAGCCCCGTCGGCTTGATGGTGGACGACATGGTGGCATAGCCATTCGAGCCGTCCGCGTCCTTGGTGAAACGTTATGTCGGAAGCGACGCACAGCCTTATTGCGCTCCTCGTCGTTCAGCTTGACAGCGTAGCGGTAATAAGTGATCTCTCCGTTCCTGATGTCGAAGATGAGTTCGCGGCCGATGCTCGCCTTCGTCAGGGGGTCAGCCCGGATGTCTCGCGCATCACACCAAAAGCACGTCGACGATCTAGCTGGCGCGGAGTTGGTCCGATAGCACCATAGGTGGCCTGCCGTACTGTTCTCTGGAGGCGGTCGAACAGGATGCATGGCGAATGCCGCGAACACGGACACGCTGTCCGCGACATGGGATGCCGACATAGCGTAGCCGCCCTCCTCTCAACTTCCTGCTCTCAGCCGACTGGCCCACGGGTCATCTCGTGCACCGTCAGAAAGTAGGCCTGGAACCCATCAGCTGCGCCGCGGGCCGCGAGCACCTCGGATCCGAACGAAGACCTGCACGAATATTTGCGCGAACTGCTCACAAATCGAGCACTTGGCAGACCTTTTCGCCGGTGTTGCGGCACTTTCCCAAGCGCATGTAGACAGCACCTCGCATGTCGTACCCCATCCCCTCCTCCCTCTTGAAGGACCCGTCGCTGTGCGCACACAACTGGCCGGCGCATTCTATGGCAGGGAGGGCGATCTGCTGTTTGATCTTCTGCACGGCCAGGACAAATTAATCGAGATGCATAACATGGCGGACAAGCAGATTGTTCTTGGCCATCTGCAGCGCAACAGCGTACACGGCGACGTGGCACTGCGTGAGCAGGGCGCAAGCTGCTGCTCCCAGCAAGGGAACGAAGAGGTCTGGATGTTGACGAGCTGCCTCGTCAGTCTTCGCCTTGACCAGGTCGACGTGCCTGATCGGCATCAGGGCGTGGATGTACTCGTTTTTGTTGAACCTCCCGGTGTCGTCGGCGCTGCGGTGTTGATGCATTCCGCAGTTGGTGAAGTCGTCGGCGTCGTCGCCCTGCATCTTGCCGAAAACGCTCTCGATATGGCAGATTAGCTCTGTGTGCCCACCGATCTTCGGGTCGTCAACATGTTTGGACAACATGAACATTAGCGCTGGATCGCCAGCAACAAAATTGCTGGACGCCGCGTGCTTGACCCCGAGCTCTGGGCCCCACCTGGTAGGACCGCGTGACCCGGGCGAGCTTCATGAAGAATGCTCGGGGTGCGTCCTTGCAGCCCCTGCCGCGAAAACACTCGGCACGCTCGTCGAAGGACTCGAAACAACTCAGAATGACGAATTGAAGGGGAACTGGGATACACAAATAAATACACACAAATAACAAGATCCCCCATATTTTCCCATATTTTCTGGGTTTTTGTCTTCCCCCCCACTTCCCATATTTTCCTATATTTTCTGGGAATCGCCGATTAATTGTGTCTGTGTGTTTCTTTCACTCCTGAGATGCAAGGATGAAGCGGATGTTTCTGTCAGACGGAATGCAAACGAAGAGCTGTGCGAACGCGTGTCACACGGGCACGCTGGGTGGCCGCCCTGCCATGCCCCAGAGCCAAAACAGCGGCGGGGAAAGAAAGACACTTATAAAGGGGCCCTGGGACACACAAATAAATACACACAAATAAAAACATTCCCCATAGCTTCCCATATGTTCTGGGTGTCTGTCTTCCCCCCCACTTCCCATATTTTCGCATATTTTCCTGGGCAATCGACAATTAATTGTATCTGTGTGTGTTTTTCCCTCCTGAAAAACAGCGGCGGGGAAAGAAAGACACTTAAGAGAGAAAGCAAGATAAACAACGCTACCGTTCGAGTAGGTCGGGGTAGAGGAAAAAAATGGCACTGACGAGGAAGACGAGAAAAGGCCAAGGGGGATGGGGGAAGACGAGGGAAGGAGGAGAAGGAAGAGTCAGAATGGACGGAACGCCTATCCAGCCGTGCCCCCCGCGAAGCGGTGTATCGCAAGGGCTGGTATCGCCCATGAGCGCCGCGACTCATAAACCACACGGGTCGGTATCGCCGATGGCGCTGCGAGACACGAGTCGCAACGCAGAATGCCCCAACGCATTCGGCGACGGCCCGCCAGCGACAGGCGGGGGGGGCGCAAATGCGACGCTACATACAAAATACATGCCTTCGGAGGGAGCTAAGGAAGCCCCTGAATGGCCTCAAGGCCGCCTGGAAGCCCCTGGAGGCCAGTGGAAACACCAACAATAGAGGCCTCCCAAATGGGGTCCGATTAGATGAGGTCGGAGGGACGAGGCGCATCGGCGATACATCGGCGATGTATCGGCGATGCATCGCCGATGCACCGTCCACGTCGGCGATGCATTGGCGACGTCGGCGTGGAGAAAAAACGGGCTCCGTATCGTGCCGCATCGCCGATGCTTCGGCGATGCGGCGCGATCCTCCGACCCCATCTACTCCGACCCCATCTAGGAGGCTTAGAGATAAGTGCTGTGTCTGACAAATCACATGGGCACCGAGTCCTATGCCCGTGAACTTTTGCATAACGTGTCGCGGCGGCGGCCCCAGAGACACGCCATACCATGCGAGTGGACAGCGTGTCGCTCCGCTCCGCGGAGCGGTCGGGAAAAACTCAAGACGTTGACGCATGGGGACGGGGAACTGGATGGCGTGTCGCGCCGAAGCGTGGTGGGCCGGAACTGGCGGCGCGACACGCTATCCAAAAGTTCCCGCTGTAGATCACACGGACTGCGTATCGGCGATGAGCGCCGTGCACCACAGATCACACAAGCGCCAGCCAAGCAGGGGGCTGACATGGCACTTGGAAGGGAAACGCGAAGCCTGTCGACCTGTGTTTACTGCAGCGCGGACTGCAGGGGTGCTGCGATGTGTGCACATATGGACCACGAAACAAACGGCACCACCCAACCTACGACCCCTCGGGCCTTCGCATACACCATAATATCCGGCGTGGGCTTTGGCGTGGTATACGCTACGGCCGCAGGTGGGGTGGTGTCGCTTGTTTTTCTCGGACGAACATACGAGTGACCACAAAATACGCACCTCCCTGACTCCCAGACTATCACCCCTGTCGGCCTGACACTATATGACACGTCATCCGTACTCCCCTCCTGGGTGCGCATGGCATGCAAAAACATGTCGGCATCTTCGGATTGACACGAGCGCACATATACGAGCACGAGGAACTGATCCGTGCCATCATCCGCTTCACCCTCGGAGGCCAGCGTGGGGGACTATCCTTCTGCGCTCCTCCACATCTCCCGTTCTCTCAGCCCTCCTCGACCTCCCCCGCCCTCCCCACTCCTCCCCCATCTTGCAACATGCCCGATGCCGTGCCCCGTTTCCCATATATTTTCTCTCCCCATCTGCCCTTCCCCCTCCCCTCTCGCCCCGCCCCTGTCCCTCTCACGCCCCCCACGCCCGCTCTCCTGCCTCCCCATTCGCTTCTTGGGAGGCGCAGGGGCGACGCGCTGCCGTCCTTGTGCACCCTGTGCACCACCCCGGTGCCGATCTCCCACTCCCCCAGCGGGGTGGGCCTCTCGGGCCGGCAACGACGGCGAGGCTCCGGAGGCGGGGGCGGATAGGCGCGCGGAAGGAGTGGGGAGGTGTGCCCCCCCTTGGCCAGGCACGCAGGCACGGGGCGCAGGGACGAAAACTCCCCAAGGCCCCCACAGGAGAAAGGACGATGCGCGGAAGGTGCGGGGAATCGTCGTATCCGGGGTACTCCTTCTGACAACTCGCGGGCGCCGAGTCCGTCGCCTCGTCCGCCTACTTGATCATGCGCTTGCAGGTTCAAAATCCGACGTCGTCTCAGAGACGAACTCCGTCTTGCAGGAGCCTCTGGCATCGAGCTCATATCCTTGCCGAAGCACCGCCTTTGCACTCAAGGCACCTCACAAAATCTCAAATCCGACCCTGTCGGCGTGTGCGAGAGGTTTGTCTGTTCGAGTCGTCGTCTTCGTCAGTCGTCGTCTGCGTCGCCCTTTTTCCCTGCACCCTCCTCAAGCCTGTCAGCGAGAAAAAAACCTCGCAATGCCGTAATCGAATCGAAGGGGAGACCCTTCCTGTTGATACATCCCCCGTCGAGGAGGGGGGGTCCTGTGGTGGGTACGGGGGGGGTCAGATACTCATCCCCCCTGGAGGTCCCGGGGCTGCAAAAAGTACCAAAACAAGCCAAGAGTGACCCAAGAGGCCCCCGAGACGGTCCAAGAGGGCCCCACTTGCCAAACGATCGGTCCAACACGCTTTCGCGCTCCCAGACTGCCCAGGAGACCTCCAAGACGCACCAAGAGGCCTCCAAAGGTACTCCCGAGAGGGCCCCAAGAGGCAAAAATCATTGATTTTCCTTGTGGTTCTTGGGGGCAGATTCGGGCGTTCTCGCCTTTTCCGCTTCGCGCCGCTCCAAGACGGCCGAAGAGGCCCTCAAGATCGCCCCAAGAAGGCCCAAGAGACTTCCAAGAGCGCTCCAAAACATTCCAAGAAAGCCCCAAGACATCCCAAAAAGCCTCCAAGACGATCCAAAAGGTCCCCAAGACGGCTCCAAGAGCGTGCCCTGACGGAAACCCAAACGGACATTTCGAGCCCTCGGCCCCGAGAAGGTCCCAGGAGGCCCCAAGAGGTTCCCAAGAGCCCCCAAGAAGCCCACAACAGGCCCTCAGGACACTCGAAAAGGCCCCCAAGAGGCTCCCAAGAGACTCCAAAATTCCTCCGCAGAGGCCCCCGATGAGCCTTCCCAAGAGACCCCAAGAAGTATCCCTGAGGGCTCGGACTCGGGCCCACGTCAGCGTCGTCGTCACCGCCGCCGCCACCGCCGCCGTCGTCGTCGACGACATCCTTCTTCAGGGTCGGCGGCACCAGCTGTAAGGCCTTCGCAGGTCCGCCAACGTCGGCTCATCCACGCGCTTCTGGGAACCTGACCAGACAAGAACGGGAAGCGTCGCTTTAGTCCACCAAGCATGTGGAATATGCTCTGTTGTTGTTACGCCGCGCAGGTATGCCGTGGCGCGCGTGTCGGTGTGCTGGCGGGGTGTGTTTTGCTGTGCTCCTGTGTGTTCTGCCGTGCTCCTGTTCTGCAGTGCTTGTGTGTTCTGCCGTGCCTCTGTGGGCTCTGTGTGTTCTGCCGTGCTCATGTATTCTGCCGTGCGGATCGTCGCGGTGGTCGTTTTGGCGGAGCTTCTGGGCGCGCACGGCAGAAAAAGATCAGGAGCACTGCAGAAGAGGCCCAAAGAGCGAAGGAGCAAGGCAGAAAAAGACCAGGAACACCCCCAAGAGCAAAGGAGTACGGTAGAAATGACCCCAAAAGCGAAGGAGCACGGCAGAAAAAGACCAGGAGCACGGCAGAATAGACCCTAAGAGCTAAGCAGCAGGTTGGAAAGACCAGGAGCACGGCAGAATAGGCCCCAAGAGCGAAGGAGCAGCGCAGAAAAAGACCAGGAGCACGGCATAATAGACCCCAGAAGCTAAGGAACAGGGCTGAATATGCCCAAAGTGCGAAGGAGCACGGCAGAGAAAGACCAGGAGCACAGCAGAGTAGACCCCAAAAGCTAAGGAGCACGGCAGAAAATGACCAGGAGCACGGCTGAACAGGCCCCAAGAGCGAAGGAGCACGGCAGAAAAAGACCAGGAGCACGGCAGAATAGACCCCAGGAGCTAAGGAGCACGGCAGAATAGGCCCCAGTAGCGAAAAAGACGCCAGAAAAAGACCATGAGCACGGCAGAATAGACCCCAAGAGCTAAGGACCGAAGAGCCAAGGAGTACGACAGAAAAAGACCAGGAGCACGGCAGAATAGACCCGAAGAGTGAAGGAGCACGGCAGAATATACCCCAAGAGCGAAGGAGCACGACAGCAAAAAGCAGAAGCACGGAAGACTAGACCACCAGAGTTCAGGAGAACTGCAGGAAAAAAGGAGCACGCCAAAATAGGCCCGAAGGGCGAAGGAGCACGGCCGAAAAAACACAGGAGCACGGCAGAACAGGCCCCATGAGCGAAGAAGCACGGCAGAAAAAAAACGGGAGCACGGCAGAATAGACCCCAAGAGCTACGAAACACGGCGGAAGAGGCCCCAAGAGCGAAGGAGCAAGGCAGAAAATGACCAGGAACACGGCAAAATAAACCCTAAGAGCAAACGCTTATGTTTGACAAAATCGATGTTACGAACATATCAATGGTGTGAGGATGTCCCTGGCGAAATCACATGCCGGGGTCGTCTCGAGGGCGATCCTGGGTGTCATGTTGGGGTTCGTTTGGGGCCCGTTGGGGCCGTCTTGATGCCCTCCAAAATCATTACAGTGCGATGTTAAACACATTATTTTCTGACGGTGTCCCTAGCGAGATCGTTATTGTTAGAAGGCTGCCCGAGACCATCAGGAAGTCTTTTCAGGAGCGATTCCAAGACGATGTTAGAACAGCAGTTTTCAAAACGATGTTGTTGAATCCCACCAGCCCTCTGTGCGTCGGTGGTTTAGGGCGGTTCCTCTTCCACCCCTCCCTCTTCCCCTTCGGGGAGGGGCTTACCCCTCTCCCATAACCCCTCCCCGTAGACCTGGACGGGAGGGGCGGGAGGTGTCAGGGCGTCCAAAACGGCCTCGGCGAGGAAGCCAAAATCATTGATTTTACTTCGGTGTTGGCCCCATGTTGGCCTCCCGAGGGGGGGACGCTAATTAGCGCCCCCCCCTCCTGTGATCGATCTCCTCCAATATGGCCCCAAGAAGCGCCCAGGAGGCCCCAAGAGTGCCCCAAAATGGCCCCAAGAGGCCCCCAGGAGGCCCCCAGGAGGCCCCCTAGAGAATCCCAAGCGGCCCAAAAAGGCCACCCCGAGGCACCCAACACGCCGAAAAAGCCCCTCAGGACGGCCCCCATACTCGCATGGGCGTCGTTTCTGGATGGGTTGGTGGGGATACTTTTTTGATCTGCGGCCCGCAAGGAAGAGTCCAGAGGGCGCGTCAATCAGGCTGACTGGGGCACAGAGCCAGATAATTCGTGCAGAATGCAGAACAAATTGTGGAAAATGCGCAGACGGGCAACGAGCCAAAGAGAAGCTGACCAGCCGAGGGTCAGCCGCGCGTGGCGACGTTGCGCCAGCACCAGAAGACGGGCGCAGAGCAGGGTGACGGAAGGACGAAAGAGTAAGGGGAAAAGCAAGATGCCTCACTCACGGAGCACCAGGTGCTCGCCAGCGAGCCGACTCTGGCCCAATCAAGGATGGTCACATCGTGAATCCTGAGGGGCAGCCGCCATCCTGACGACAAGGATGCACGTCGCGCAGACCACGTCACAACCACCAGTGCCCAGTGTCCCGCCAAGGGAAGAACTGCAGGTAAGAGTGCACCACCTGACCAACGCAGAAGGGCAGGAAGTCGATGGCGATAGCGAGCGCGAACCCCTCCCAGAGGGAAAAGCAAAGGTCGGCAACGCCGGGGGGGATACGTCGGCCAAAAGGAGACACGGACCTGCCACAGGATGCACCACATGAACAGGAAGTCGTACTCCAGGGCGACGGCGCCGAATAGCGGAACGGCCAAGTCGTGGAAAGGCCGGGCCTGCCGAAGATAAACCACTTGCGCAGGAGCATGCCAAACCAGAACCACCCGATAGCGGTGGCCGACGACCCAGCCGGCGCTTGTCAAGCGGGGGAGCAGCCACTGGTTAAGAGCACCAGCCTCCAGAAGGCGTCGCGTGGAACGCAAGGGGTGGGCCCATGGCCGAAAGCCCCCGCCATCCCAGGCGAGCACAGCACCAGTACGCAGTGCTGAGGGGGAAGCACCTCGTCCCCAGGAGGTGACCCAAAGGTATTAAGCCAGAGCCACACTGCACGTCGTCGGCACCCCTCAGCAGTCGTCGAGGGCGACAGGAGGGGAGGAGAGGAGGCGCAGCCGATAGCCGCAGAACATTTGAATACATGGAGAGGAGGAGCCGGGTGGTAACGCCGCCAGTCGAGGACCCAACACGTGAAGTCGGTGCGTCGTTGGCGCGTGGCGCCGTCTCGTGGGGGGGAAACGTCACATGGGCAAGGCCGTCGGACGTCGGGAGCGCGGAGCGCATGGGGGGGGCCTTCGGCCTGCCGCCCCAGCCATCCAAAGTGAGCGCCCCGGCGGGCGACACGGGCACGTGTCCCTGTGAACAAGGCCTGAGTGAGCCGCGGGCAGGGTCATTGCAGCCAGACCGCACGGGCTAAGACCCCCCGAAGTACCATGGGGGCCTAAGCGCAGTGAGAGTGCGCACCTCACTCCCAGGAGGTGGCACGTGCATTAAAGCCGGGGCCTGTCACTGCGGTGAAACGAGCCCCCTTCGTGAAGGGACTGCCCACGGCCGATGCGGCCCGGGGGGTCATCCGCCCGCGACGTCTTCTCCTCACCCGATGCTTACCCGTGGGCAGCCCAGGGGCTTACGAGGACCATGGTGGCCCCTGCCAGTGTGGAGCGAGTCTTGTGAACGTCACACGTCGTCGGCCAGTCACCACAGTCATCGAGGGCGTCAGGGGGGAGGGGGGGAAGGCGCAGCCGATAGCCGCAGCACATTTGAATACATGGGGGAGG